CAACTCTTTTATTAAGAAGGCCCAAGGCCTCTGGGACACAAGGCCTTAGGGCAGGCATGGTGAATTTGGCATGTCTGTATGTCAGAGTCCTGAACATGAGCTTTGCTGCCAAGTAGAATTTTATTTTTTTTAAATATTTATTTATTTATTATGTATACAATATTCTGTCTGTGTGTATGCCTACAGGCCAAAGGAGGGCACCAGACCCCATTACAGATGGTTGTGAGCCACCATGTGGTTGCTGGGAATTGAACTCAGGACCGTTGGAAGAGCAGGCAATGCTCTTAACCTCTGAGCCATCTCTCCAGCCCCCCCCCCCCCCCCCCCCCCCCCCCCCCCCCCCCCCCCCCCCCCCCCCGCAGTAGAATTTTAAATGTGCTTATTCATTATGGTGCTGGAGTTCATCAAGATCAGGGCTTGACGCACTCAGGGGAAATAGTCAACCACTGAGCTATCTCCACAGTCCTGGGATAAAGAGCACACAGTGTACAGAGGAGGATGAACCCTGCAGGAGTGGAACTAGCTTTGGTCTACTGGGCATGCTCCACCTCACTCAGCACACTGACTCTAGACACTGAACACAGCCTAGAAGCCTCACAGGCTTCTCTGCCAAGTGCAAAGCACCACTCCTGACTGCCCTCAGAAAGAGTCTCTATGGGCGTGGCCCAGGTTTCACGGGAGAACAACGGGACACAATCAAAGTGACCTGCTGTGTTTCTTCAATTTCAAGGGCCCAAACTTCTGGCCAACTTGCCTCCTTGAAGAAAGTGGAATCTGGAGACAGAATTGATCAGCCAGCTCTACTTCACAACACAATCTTGTTTGCTCGTTCTCTTATTTGTTATCAAAGAAAGAAAGAGGCAACCCTTTCAAAGAGTTGCTGAGAAACAGCAAAGCGCTGAGCAGCTGGGCCAAGTTCACACAGCTGGCTTTTGAGGAGTGAGAAGCAGGACTGTGTTTTCACTGAGAACACACTGCACTGCTCTCTAAGCTCACTTCTCCTCTAGACCCAGGCACTCAAGAAAGGCTGCAACAGGAGCATGAAGACTGTACTCGGCTTTTATCTAACCAAATCCAAATAGATATTTCAATTCCAGCATCAGCAGGCAGAGGCAGGCAGAGCTCTGCAAGTTTCAAGACAGGCTGGTGAATAGCAAGTTCCAGGTCAGCCAGAGCTACAGAGAGAGATACTGCCTCAAAGCCAAAACAGAAATCTACCCAATAACAAGGCTATTTTCCTTTTTAAGGAGAAACACATACTTAAGGTTTTTTATTATCATGAGGCTAAATGAGACAAAGGAAGTCAAGTGACTTCATAAATGAAAACAATTGCCTTTTGTTTGTTTTGTTTTTTGTTTGTTTGTTTCTTCAAGACAGGGTTTCTGTGTAGCCTTAGCTGTCCTGAAAACTTACTCTGTAGAACAGGCTGACCTTGAACTCATGGAGACCTGCCCATCTCTGTCTTCCAAGTGCTGGGATTAAAAGTGTGTGTCACACCGCCAGGTCAAATGATTCTTATTGTTACCTGCTCACTAGGTTAACAAGAAGCCTTACCATTCACATCCCTGAGTTCTGACTGCTTTGTTACCCACTTTAAAATAAAACAGAAGCTCAGTGCTAGAAGCTCTCAAATGTCCTGTTCCAAAAGAGGTGCCTGGGAGATTTAAGTGGCTTATGGAATAAGTAACATAGTAAGAGGTTCTTAAAATTTCTCTTCTAATCCATTCTCATCAAGGAAAACATCTCTATTTATAGTTGACATCTCTTAATATACCCAAACACTTGCTAAGCACTCTTTTTTTTTTTTCCAGAAAGAAAAATAGTCTTTGGGGCAAACTTTGGTAGCACATTCAACACTATCTAATAAAGTTTCATATCTTATCATGGTGGTGGTGGTGTGTGTGAATATTCGTCCATCTGGGGGCTTACTGTTTACCATAAACATGTGGTTTCCATGAAACTATTTAATAGGTCATAGTTACACAAAAACACATCTCAAAACTGCAAACAGTATTGCCATCAGATCCGGAAATCTGCATTTCTAACAGGTTAATGCTGCCGATGGAGAAAGGCCGGGTGAAGACTCCAGTGGTACTGCAGGACTCTCAAGTACCACATCTATACTGACGTCACGTCACGGGCGGGTAATCGCTTGGTTCCCCACCCTCCCCACGCATCCTGCGCAAGTCCACCTGTTCCTGTCAATCATCTCGACGTGAGCTACAAACTCCACCCCCCATGTTGCGCGCTTGTGACGCAATGGACGTCTCCCCGGTGACATCGTGACCTCCCCTTAAGCTATCCCCGGCCTGGAGCCCAGCGCTGGGCCCACGACCGCGAGTGGCCGGTACCTGAGAGGGGCCTCCGGACGCCAGTACGCAAGCGCCACATGGAAGCAGCCGCTATCGCCCTCGTGCCGCTCATCGCCGGTGACAACGCCACCAAGGCCTAAGCGCCCGCGCCAGTTGTGCTTTCGGCTCACGGTGATGACGCATGGGTGCGGCGGGCCGGGGAAACGTTTCACCCAGTTGGCTGGAAATGGCGATGCAAGAACTCTATTGGGTGTGCTGCCTGCCAATCATTGGGGCGTCATAAAGGGACCCTGGCTGGTTTTATGGATGAGGATGAGGAGTTTCTCTGCTGGGGCGACCCAGGTGTAGTGCTCACTGTCTCTCCAGGGTCACTGTTGGGGCCTTAGTTTCCCTCGCCTTACGGAGATATTTTTTTTCTCTATTTGCAGCCTCTTTAAACCTAAAATTCAGTAGAAATTACCGGCTAAAACACACCAGTGTTTGGTGTAATTGTGGGCCGGACAGCTCCTTCCACAGTATTTCCTGTCCCTTCTCTTTTTTTTGAGATTTGTTTTATACACTGTTCTTCATACTGCACTGGATTATTCCTGGCCGTGTGTATTGGTGCACACTGGTGAGGGAGAAGACTGTGTGTTGAGGGAAGGAAAATTTAACAACATACTCTAAACTTTTTAAAGTGCATATCCATTAATATGACAGCTAGGGGCTAGCCAATAGAAATGAGTTTTCAAATTAGTCATGTATATGAAACAAAAAAAAAATGCCTAGAGGATATACATCAGTTATTATAGGTGGTGCCAGAGGCTGTGGTTTTAAGGGAACTTCGGGTTGCGCCCTTGTTTTTTGTGTATGTTTGATACATACTGTAAAATAATTAAAGCTACTAAGCTATATAACGATAGTGTTCAAATTAGTATACTACAGCAACTTAAACTTAAGATGAACCCCCGTACTCGACAGGAGTGGCAGAGAAGGTGTGGAAACAGCCCCGTGTAATGAACGCTCAGCCTCAATCAGGCTCCCCAGACCCGCACATGTTCAAAACCTTCATGTTCAATACATGGCACTTCTAGATAGGTCCTGAAGAGAAAGAAAAAAGATGTTGAGATGTACTACATCCTAGATATTATGTGCTTACCTAGTCAAGTTCTGAAATATAAAAGCAACTTGTCTTACTTTTGTACTGTAGATGTGAGGGGACTGTCCCAAAAGGTGAAGGCATCTGCCCACAGTCACACAGCAAAGGGACATCCCTGTATCAAGCACGTCTCACACTCCGGTCAGGCTTCTGGGAAAGCCACACGCTACAGAGTATAAAGATATGTTTGGAAGTTCTCACAGGGGCAGACCTTGCACCACCCTGGAAAAAAATGAATTCTTTTCTTTCCAAATACTTAGCATAAGTGGCTTGCTGCCCGTCAGGTGTCCAGCTGCGAGATCTTATGTGTGAACTTAAGAGTAAACGCAAACTAAACACCTGCCTGACTGGATTCTCCTCTTCACTGGGGTGGGAACATTTTGTGACTGCAAGCACCTGTAAGTCTGCCTTTAAAAAGAAGAAGAGGGAAAAATAGAAATGTTTGCCAAGGCTTTTCAAGTTCAATCTTCTGGTGTTTGTACAGGGGGAGAATGACAAAACCCACCTCAAGTGCCCGCTAGTGGTTGCGTGGTTACGGGAAATGTGTGTGGCTGCTGAAATGCTACACAGCCATTAAAAAGAAGTATGTAGCTACTTGCACAGAACTTCAAGATATTAAGAAAAAATTCAGAGATAGGTATTCATAACACACACCCAACACATATATTTCTACTTCAATATTTATTATATCTTTATAGAACAAACACAACAGTGGTTTTCCAATGGTGCTAAGGTATAAAAGGCTTAAGATATCTTTGTCGTTGAAGTTTAAAGCACACCAACATGCTTTTCTTTGGCTTCAGGAAAACCAAGAAGTGATAAAACTCATCCAACACATCCAACAGATGTCAGAATGCTACTTCCTCTAACTGCAGTGAGAAGAGCATCTTTACAGAATATTGCAATTGTCCTCATCACCCGGTTCTTGACGATGAGCTTTTGTGGGTTCAAGTGCACACAATCACACTTAAAACCTTCAAGACACTGTGTAATCAGTAGTTTAACACACCTGTTAGAGCCACGCATTAAAAATCATACCGATGTCGCCTGGTTACTAAAGTTATCAAAACATTCAAGTAAGAGGTATGGACATTAGCAGCGATTACTAAAGCTAACATACTAGTTGGCATATTTTGGTATCCGTTTTATAACAAAGAAAACAGTATACTGTCCATTTTACCCACCATCTGTACAAACAGGAAAGTAGGTCATCGCAGGGGCACGGTGAGTGACGAAAATGTTATATGAAGACACTAGGCTAAATGCCAACAGTTAGAATTTGTAAAATGAGGATGGAATGAACTTTGGTTTATTCAAACTGCCTGTTGTTAGGGTTAAAAACTCATAGATCTTCAAATATAAGAAAAGGTTAGGAAATACACATTCTCACAGGTACAAAAATATCCCATGTTGATACAACCTCGTGGAAGATCAGAGACATTATTGTGTTGGACTTGAGGATATGAGTTCCATCTACACACACACACACACAATAGAGAGATAGGAGAGAGAGAGAGAGAGAGAGAGAGAGAGAGAGAGAGAGAGAGAGAGAAGACACACACAAAGGACCCTTTATACATATAGAGATGTGTTCGCCATAACAAGTTTGCTTTCCTTCCAGAGCAAGAAGTCAATCATTTCTGAGAAACAAGGCAGAGGTCAGAGGACGGAGATCCTTCTTGGCAGCTTTCTAAAACCATGAATCTAATTTTAAATGTCAGAAAAGGTTAGGAGCCAGTGAAAAACTGAAGCTTCAAACTGTCTGTCACAGGACTCGTAGCTCCCTGACAGACTTTCAGGTAAAAGGTGAACGAATTAGGCACTGTTAAAAGGGCCAGCTTTGGGAAGACACATGATGAGGTATTTATTAAATACAGTTTTTACCGTAGCAGAGATCGCAAGAGATGCTCTGTTTCTGTAACGTTTTATAAAAACAAAAGTATACACATCCAAAGTTTTAAGTGCAGGCAAACAAAGCCTAGCCCTTTGAAATGTGTATTTAAGTAATCAGAACCCAACTTATGTTTGTATTGTGTTCTGTTCTTATCAACAGACTAGGCCATGGATCTATGTCTGAAATCACACATATAACCCCCAAGCCTTACCCACGACTTCAATACCAAACAGTACACTGTAGCCTGGCTCTGAAACATTTGGTTTCCTTCAGGAATGAAGAACTCCGTGCAAGGGACAGGAATGACATTTGGAAAACAGAGAGGAACTATCCATCTGCCTTGCAAGGTTTTACCCTCCTTCAATTCTGTCATCAGATCGCAGAACTTGCAGCCAGGTAGAATCAGAAGGTTGGTGGCTAGCCAGCCAGCTAAGGTCACTTTCCCCTGAGGAGTGAACAAGACTGCAGGAAAGGCTTGGAGAGCTGAGAAGGAGGGGCTGCAACCTGCCTCAGTCTCCCACTCAAGGGCAACCCTGATGGGGGCAGAAATTCAAGTGTGGTCCGGGCACACAGCAGGAGCTGCCAGGATGGCATTTCCACATTCTTATCAGCTGTTCCAAGCCTTTAGCACCTGAAGATGCATGTTCGTTTGAAAAAAAGAAGTCAGGTTGAATTTTAAGTCACCAGTGGCATTTGAGAGGCTACTCACTCAACCTGGAAAGGCTTCCAAAGAAACCGCCCAGCTTTAGAGATGGGGGAACTCAGTTTTACTTTGAAAAACAACACATACAAACCTTTTTTAAAGATACAAAAGTCTGAACAAAAAATAAATAAATAAAAATCTCTTTCTCTGGTTTCAATAATAAATCCCGAGCAACTTGAGAAGTCAGTGTTCTGGTAGAATCCTCAGGGAGCCACCGCTCTCCAGGGGCCAGCCTGTTTGGCTAAGTCACTGAAAGCCCTAAAGTCTAGAAAAATATATTTTAACAGTTCCACTCAGGTGGACTTTGTAGGGTCTCCAGGGCCCCATGCTGAGAAGCTGCAGCGTCTTGCTCAAGCCGGCTGGCTCCGCACATCCCTTTGAGCTTCGGTTAGTTTCTGGATAAGATAACGCTTGTCACGACTCTCCTAAAAAAGAGAAGCAGGTTCGAAGTCTGTCTCATATGTTTAGAAATGTAGGAAGCTATTTCTCTCCAGTGAGTCTCTCGTCAGACTCCAGGTAAGGGATTCCAGCCATTGGAGTGCCACCGTGACTTCCAGGCTGGCCTGTCTCCCTCACCAGAGGTCCCACCACAGCCCCTTGTCCACGGGACAGCTGGAGATCTAGAAACACACGTGTGGGCTGAGTGCCTGGCATGCACACAGCCTGGGTTCCACCCCCAGCATTGCCTAAACTGGGTGTGGTGGTCCATGCCTGTGACTCCCACCCTCAGGAAGTGGGTACAGGAAGATCAAAAGTTCAAGGCCATCCTTGACTACCCTGAGTTTGGGGCTGGGGCTACAAAGACCTAGTCTCAGACAATTTAACCAAATACTAAGTAAAACCGAAACCTATTGAATTTGCCAGGCAATGCAGTGACCTCTGGCTAATGTCAAAAGAATCATCTAGCCCCCTGTCTTTCACAGCCCTCCAGCCATATACCCCCATTCTCCTGTCTCCCCAAAGTGCCTGGCTTATTCCCACACGGGGTCCTTCCATCCCTCTAAGGACCTCTAATAATTGGTGACTGCCATCATTCCCGTCTTACCTCTGACGTCACCTCCGACAGGCTTCTCACAGCCATTGGCTGCTGTAGCCTCGGCTCCTCCATCTCGCCACATACCTAGCTCTTATGATCGTTACAGAAATTAGTTCACTGTGTGTACACACCCTTACACATGTGTACGTGCTCGTGTGGAGGTGGGGGAGCATGTGTGCATGGATGTGGACCTTCAGGGGGCAGTCACAAGTCAACCTCAGGTACCATTCCTCAAGTGGGGTTGGTGAGGCAGGGGTGGTATTTGTTTTAAAATTATCTTTAGATGTGTTTATGGGCATCAGTGTTTCGCCTGAAGGTGTGTGTATGCACCTGTGCAAGCCTGCTGCCTGCAGAATGTCAAAAGAGGGCGTCAGATCCCCTGGAACTGGAGCTATGGATGACTGGGAGTCACCGCATGGGTGCTGAGAATTGAACCCGGGTCCTCTGCAAGAGCAACTAGTGCTCCTAACCACTGAGTCATCTCTAGAGTTTCCTGGCCATTATGTTTGGAAATAGAGTTTCTTAATTAGACCAGCAACTTGCCCGAGGGTAGGCTTCCTGGCCAGTCAGCCTAGAGATCTGCCTGATTCTGCTTCCCCGTGCTGGGTCTACACATGCAGGCTGTGATGCTGCAGCCTTCTACATGGATGCCTGGGTGGAGCTCGGGTCCGCATGCCTATACAGCAGCACTTCACACACGGGGCTACCTCCCCACCCCAAATGTATCGCTTCTCTCACTCTTTAATGCTTCTGTCTCTCTCTGGCATAGGACTAGATGAGCCAGTTGATTAATGAATGAATGAACCAGGTGAATGAATGAAACTAGAGAGGGCTGCTTTATCTTTTCCCCTTTATCTGAAACAAGGTCTTGGTGGTGTGGAACTCACTGTGTAGACCAGGTATATGTGAAACTTGTGACCTGCCTGCCTCAGCCTCCTGAGTGCTAGGACTACAGGCCTGTGCCATCATGCCCAGAGTCCTGGTTTAATGTCCCTGGCCTTGACCCTCTGAGTCTGTGCTTTCTTACCAGGAACAGCTGCTCTCGGAGCTGGACAACTACCCGCTTGTGTGCTCCAGCCAGTGCAATGAAGTAGAACATGACCAGGCTGCAAGACAAGGTTGTGAGGGAGCCTGTGTTACCAGAACGTCACTAAAAACCACCCGAACACTCACAGGGAGGTTGTATTATCTGCAGGTCAACAAAAACCACCCCAGGTCTGCAGGCTGCTAAGAACCACCCAACACTCATCAGGAAGCTGTGACACCTGGAGGCCACTAAAATACAAAATACACTGATTATTTCATTTGAATTATGTTTTCTCTGGTTATAAAAAAGAGCTAAGCGGGCCAGCCCTCCATCTCCTAAACAGATGGCCGATGGCAGGAGAGACACCTGGAGGCAGGAGAGTCTGACTTAGAAGTCTTTAGTTTTCTCTGCTAATTACAAAGTTCCTAATGTTCCTCCCCTGGCTGCTGAATGGCAGTGAGAAGAGGGAAAAGCCCAGAAAGTCAGTTAAGGGTGTCAGTAATTGGCTGGGCATGCTCACTTGGCGGGCACTCTGGCCTCAGTTTCCTCATCTGGGAGATGGATAAAGGAAAACTCGGTGACAAGATTAGGACTAAAAGCCATTAACAGCTTCCTGTCTACAGCTCTGGGGCTCAGACGGGGTCAAGTTATAGTGGACAGAGGGCAAGACCCCATTTCATAGGGAAGCCAGTTTCACCTCATTCCTGTCCATGTCCCCAGACAGGGCTGATCAAATCAGCACCAAATAACCAGGAGATGTAGAGAGTCTCTTCAAGCCAGGGGTCTCCAAGGATAGCAAAGGCAGAGGATATATCCACCACCAGGGGGCACCAGGTGGACTATTAACCCATTGCTGCGGGAACTCAGCTCCTTGGGAAGTCCAGCTGAGCATCCCTAAATCATCTTATTAATCTCAGCTGGAGTAGGAGTAGGAGTCCCCTTTTCACGAGCATTTTTTAAGCTGCTTCCTAGAGTGGGCTTTTACTGGACTAATGGTGTCATAATATAAGAGCAGTTTGTAAGTTAAGGTGTGGAAGGCACAGTTTCCCTTCATTGTGGCTTAGACACGGTGGAGGCAGAGTTCAAGTGCAAGCTCCTCTCTAGGGCTCCTCTGTCGCCCACTGATCAATTATTTTTTTTTTCATAGATTGTGAGATTTAGGCAACCCACCAGAGATGTTAGAAATAGACCGTGTTTACTGTGCTTTTATAAGCAGGCACATAGGGCTCGGGCCTTACGAGTGTAAACTTCCTGAGTCTAGTCAACATCCCCCTGAAAGAGTAAATATTATTATGCCATTTAAAAAATATTATTATTTCCATTTATCATGGAAAAGTGAGACTCAGAGAAGCTCAGTAACTTGTCAAGCCTAACATGTGACACTCCAGGGTATTCCCAAAGGCCCACGTGCTAAAAGTGCGGCTCCCAGCCAGTGGTGCAGTCAGAAGATGGGCTGTAGCAAGAGGAAGGTAGGTCAATGGGGTGTGTCCTTGACGGGTATTGAAACCCAGGTCCTTTCCTGTTTCTTTGCTTCCCAGGGGACATGAAGTGAACGGGCCTACTGTACCATGTGTTGCCACCGAAGGGACTCTGGCCAGCTCGAGCGTAGTGGGCATGCCTCTGGCAGGGCTTGCCCTTCTCTCCCATTCCTCTGCCTTGCTAAAAACCATTAGATTTCATCCCTAAAGCTACCACCAAGGCCCATTTCCTTAGTAGGCCACTTCCTCCTCCTGAGACTGACTACCAAGGTCCAATTAGCAAAGTGTTGAAGTCCAGCAATCAAAAGCCCCTTTTGGTTCACCTAATTAACATGCCCAGTTAAAAGACCTCTTCCTCCCACCCCTGCTCATCTACACCCGAGACAGGTAGGAGAGCTGGCCCTGAGATCAGAAGGGCAGAACAGCTACCCCTGCTTGCCACCAGCCGCAGAGAGAGAGAGAGAGAGAGAGAGAGAGAGAGAGAGAGAGAGAGGAAGATGATGATGATGTGGGAGTGTCATATATCAATCTGTTGATTTCATTGGTTAAGCAATAAATAAACTGCTTGCCCTCATAGGTTAAAACATAGGTGGGAGGAGTAAACAGAACAGAATGCTGGGAGGAAGAGGAAGTGAGCTCAGACTCTGCTCTGCTCCCGGAGAGACGCGATAGCTCTGCTCTCTGAGGCAGGCACACGCGATGAAGCTCCGACCCAGGATGGATGTAGGCTAGAATCTTCCCAGTAAGCGCACCTTGGGGTGCTTACACACATTATTAGAAATGGGCTAGTCCAGGTGCAAGAGTTAGCTGAGAAGAGGCTAGATATAATGGGCAA